GGGGGGGGGGAGAAGGAATGGGAAGCGGCTTCACACGCTACTTTTGCTACTTTGTTCCCATCTGAAATTAGTTTTTTTTTCTTACTTCTTTCTCTTTCACCTGTGTTCATTCATTTATTTGTTATCATATATATTCCTAATTGCAAGAGGGTAGTCATAACAATTAAAAATAACAAAATAAGAAATTGAAATTGAAGATAATAACTGTCGTAGTATATACCAACAAGGTACTTGTATCAAACGTGTCAAACTATACGGTTCAAAACAATGAAGTGTCTTGACTAGTTTTGCTTAAAAATATCATATTATATCAGATCTCACTTCTCATTCTATTCAATACTGTTCTTTATCTTATTATTGTAGAAAACCCAAACGTCACTTCGGAATTTTCTTATCTTATCTTTCTGGTCGTTAAAGATCAAAAGTACACTTGTCTTACCTGCTTTCTTCACGAGATTTCACTTCATTGACGGAATTATGCGTCCTTTCTCAGCTCCCCAACTTATGTTATATTTTTGTTTTCTTCTCGGTATAAATCCACAGTTCTTAAAAAGCGTTGACTGTGTTCAGCGATCTAAGTGCTCGGAAAAAAGTTAAACTAGAAACGCCTAGTAGGTCTTCAGTTCTTATGCGCCTCTGTTTTTCTCTTGCCGCCGATTCGTTGAGAAAAGCCAACCAAAAACCTGGTTACTGAGTTAATGAATCCCACTGTGACTTTTTGCACTAGTCAATACATTCGCAATCAGCTGAGGGGAAAAATTAATTTAAAGCCTTAGGCAAATCCCAGTTTTTTCCGGTTCTTTCTTACTGCCCCTTTGCAAAGATCTTTAATCACTACAGCTTATTTTTGTCTAAGATTTTGGTCTTTTTTTTTTTGACGTCGTGAATCAAGGTTATTTTTCTTAACGTTTCCTGTCCAAATTGGGTAATCCAACCGCAATTAATCTTAAAGATCTTTGAGAGACCAAATAGCCACGCTCAATATAGTTCCACACCAGCAGCTGTCGGCAGTATACCAAATAATGTTGTATACCTCAGCAATAATCTATTAAATAAATTCAATTACTAATGGTATGAGACCTAGTTGCAATAGTAAAAAAATGACATTTTAAATAGGAACTTTAATCTGTATAAAAGAATATTTTTAAAAGGAAGAATATCTTGATAAAAAGAAAAGAACACTCCAGAAGTTATCATTGCTACCTACGCGGAAATGAAATAACAGCTAAACTGATTGCAAATGAACTCATCATAGTATATCGTAGATCAATTCATCATTATATTTCTAGCTTCCTAATTCACCAAGACATGATTGATTATGGTTTAGATTCCTAAGAAAATACATTAGAAGTCTGAGATTAGTTAAAAATCGTCTCCAAAATGGCAATTCTGATTAATTTTGTGGAGGAAATCAGTGTCGGATCAAGAGGTGGTTGCGTAGGTGCCATGGCACCTCCTTTTGTAAGATCTTGTGAAGCCAATCATGTTATTTGCACTCAGTAGAATGCCCTTTGTCTGAAGCCAGTCTCACCAGCTTTTTCTACGTGGCGGCCATTTTGGAACCATTTTGGAACCTCCCTTTTTTAAGAAATCCTGGATCCGACACTATAAATAACGTGCCCTCTGATTGGCTCAGAAGTATCCTATGGCTATGTACTCTGGGTTGATTAAAGTTAGGCCACAGCTAAGCGATCGACTGAATTTAGCGTGTTAGGTTTTGCGGAGGGAGGAAAACCGAAAAAATATCAAATTAGAGACACAACAACTCCACTTGCTTTTGATAAAGTAAGGCGTAATAAGCGTGAATTGAATGGATAGAACTGTGGTGTGCTGTGCGTCGGCCGGAACCAACTACAAAAACTATGATCAAATAGTGTCTTTTCAACCAAGTGACATTTCTGGCAAATTACTCATTCTTTATTTGTTCTCTTCTTAAACTCAATTCAACCTCTACTTCTGAAATTCTTAATTTAGTAGTTTGTGTTCGGTGGCAGCTTTTTGGTCTTTTCTTTTATTATCGGCAGGGTACTGAGCGTTCTTTCATTATAACTTTAGCCTGTAGTCTACTTCCGTTGGCCGTTGGTACTACTGAATAGCTGGAAATTGCTGCTCTTTATTCTATACTTATGAAAATTCTCTTGTTCTCGTGTATGGTGTTACTATTGGATCATATCTCTTAAATAATTATTTATATTCGATATCTGTAGGCAACATGACTGAGTTAGAGGGTTCACAAGTTACTGAAGAAACTACCAAGAACGATCTTAATTGCGGGAATCCTGCCTTGAAAATCAGAATTTCAGTTCCTGTGAAAAGGTGAGAACATTAGGCATTCACAGGTTGATTTAAAACGTTGGGTCGAGTTAGCAATGCAATGCATTGTGGGACTGTTGTTGGGGACAAAATAGATGTATCCATTCTCGACTTTCACATCCCCATAATACTTTGCGTCTTTGGGGGGTAACCAGAGGGTAAAAACCCACTTATTTTGCTGAAGGAAGGCTGAGCAGACAATGTTGACAATACCTTGTTATGGTAAAAACCCACTTATTTTGCTGAAGGAAGGCTGAGCAGAAAATGTTGACAATACCTTGTTTGGTATCCAAAAATAAAATGAAGAAGTAAAAAACAGAAAAAGATAGAAGCTTGAAGACGTTTAAGGTAAATTTTAAGCATTTTTTCGTAAGTCAATACATTTTCTGTACATTTTCCGAAACTCTTCATGATCTGTACACGCAAAAATAACTTGAAATAAACTAATAATCAGTATTGTACAGATAAAAGCAGGTATAGTATAAATTCAATTAAGAAACCTTTCAATTTGGGACAGTTTTTTGATTGGTTACCCCCCAAAAACGCAAGGCATTATGGGGATGTGAAAGTCGAGAATTGAAACCATGTCCCCTTAATAGTCCCACAATGCACTGCAATGCCAACTCGACCCAGCTTTTTCCTCGGCCTTGAAATAGCTAGTAATCCCCTTCACAGATCCTGGTGGCATCTTGAAAGGTAACTGTTCCTTGCTTCAAAGTGAGAAAGGTGGTGACCTTGCAATGATAGAGACCTTTTTTAGCACCTTGGACAATTATTCACATGTGTCTACTATGACTATCTTGATAATTTACGATATCATGCCCAGCCTCATCCAATAATGGTTAAGTATATTTGATATCTGATCATTGTCATGGTAACTGTTGAATGGTGTTTCACTTTCATGGTGTTTTTGTCCTTCATAACCGGTGATTTCGATGTGATAAGTTATGAG